TCTTCGTTATTGTGGATTTTTAAGCCGTAGAAGAGGAGAAACTTGCATTCATTTCCGTACTGTCTCTTGAGCCATTGTTTCTCTTTAATTGTAAGAGGGCGAATCCCGGGCTTCTTCTGCGTGGGCTCCGCCGAGAACCTGACCCGCTTCTCCTGCTCCGAGTCGGGCCAAATGATAGAGAGGGCGTAATGGACGTCTGGTTCCAAGAGTGAGGGACCGACCCGAGGACCAACGGGTGGCCCGCTGAGTCTGAGAAAGAAAAGGTTCGTTCCTATTGTTTCGTGCTCTAGTTTGAAGTATCCGACAGGGGCGTCATCAAGGGTCTTGATGACTCCTGAAGTCTGCGTGCAAAAATACGGATAGGACTCAGAGCCCTCATAATATGATGGCTATATTCGCAACCGAAGGGGCTTGATGGCGCCCTAAATTACCCGGTATGGCTGTAGGTTGACGAGTGCCTACTCGCAGGACCCTCTTACTGCCTGTTCAGCCACAGAGACTGAGATTTTCGCGCACGCAATGTTCTGCTGAAAAAGAACGGATCCTGCGGTAGGATGAAAAGCTGTTTTCTGATCATAGCTTCAAGACTGTAATGTCAACTCCTCTACCTCGACACTGCCATGCTGGTAGTCGAGGAGACGCAACAGAGGAAGACTAGCCAGAACCGGTTCATCCGACAATGGCAATTTTATGCTTCGGTTCGGCGGTCGATGTGATATATCTCAATACTGGTGGCAGCTTCCTATAGCTTGCCGTTGAATTGGCAACTTCGATGCTGCCTTGCTCTGGCCAAGAGGTATATGCGCTTTCGCCGGCGTGCATTTCCACGAGAGCCTTCCCATACTCATGAACACGATCTGCGGTATCGACTTCGGCTACGACGACTATTAGTTGGCGCAAAATACCGACCAGAGCGCCAGTAAGCCGCCGAATCGCTGCGAGACAGGGCAGTGGCCCAGGCATCGGCAACCCAATACAGCTCCAATCGCGATGACCATCTCGAATAAGACGCCAATAAGGTGAAGCTAAGGATCCATCAGTCATGATCCGATTGATAGACTCCAGCTGGTCGGGATTTTCTGTTCATATTTGCAATGTATGCACCGGTCTGGAAAAATGCACAGATAGTACGCAACCCGTCTTATTTCAAGTATGGAACTGAGTTGATCATAGAGAGGCGACGAGGCCTCAGCACTCAATCGCTTGATTTGGTGAATCGCGGACATGGCGAGGCAAGAAATACCTCAATAAGCATACGGCAGACTAATTAAGCCGGCGCAAGAGGCAGAGGAAATGATGAAGCTAGTTCACCATCAGCACGAGAAACGCCATTCAAGCGCAACGGGAACCAGACCCGACATGGTCGTACTCACTCTGCGTAAATTCTTAACACAACTTTTGAGTGCGTTCAATCGAAAAACATATGTCGTGGGTTAGCTGGATATCAACTGTACTTTACGTCGGATGTAAAGCGAGAAAGGATATTTCCTCTCGGTGTTTTGTCAATCCGCTCTAAGGAATCACGTAGAGTGGACCGTGTCATCTGACGAAACTGTTTCCTTGATGCTGCAAAGCACTCGCCATAGAAATCAAGACACTTCAGCCCCAGAGAAAGGCAGTACCATATTGAGAAGCCTAGGTAGATATCGGCAGAGAAAAAGAGCGTCTACGTGCGAAACTCGGAATCTTGGATTCAGCCCAACTCTTGAGCTAACTTTCTTGCACAAGAGCCAAGTTGGTGCTGAGAAATGTGACGACCATCATAAAGATTCAAACTCCCCATCCGCCGCTTGCAAAGAAGTGGCACTGAAGAGCTCTCCTTCAGCGGTAAGTGAACTTCTCTGCCTGACCCGAGGATGGCCGGCTTTTGTTTCCGACTGAAGAGGATAAGACGTCGTTGGCGTGAGGGCTTGTGTCCGGCTGCAGTAGCCTGCGCTGAGTTTTCACCGTCATAGTCTCACGATGCGCGTCGAAAAGAGGCCTCAGGACTTTTTTTTTTTGGCCTCCTTCGCAAATCACGAGGTACGATCGCATCCCCCCATATCCTCGGTTCTTTGCCCGGGCTCTCCCAGAAAAGAGTGTCCCATCCCTTTGAGTGCGGAGGGACCGCACCTAAGTCACGAGCAGGGATGTTAGCTAATAGGGACACCGCGCTATTAAGGATACTTTAGTTTGCTAGCAAATTAGGCTATAATAGAAGTCCTAATAATCCGGGCGGGTATAAATAGCTATATTACACTGGTCGCATCCCTTACGAGTCTTCATAGCCTGCTTCTTATTGCCGCTGGCCGCGCCTAACGGCTTGCGTTGACTCCGTGATCTTGGCTGCCTAGCTTTGAAGCCCTGGCAGGCAACGTAAGGCGATCCTTTTGAACGAGAGATATAATTGTGTTGTGATATAGGCGTAAAGATATCGCTAGCCCGAAATAGCTATCTTGACCTATCTTTTCCGTAAGCCTCGCAGAGATCCTTTATTAAGAGTTGCCGCCACTCGCGCTATGAGGTTATTCGCGGCTAGCTTAGCTGGCCCTAAAACTAAAGAAGGTAGCTATTAATAAGGGCAGTCTTAAGTAGAAAGGTCTACGTAATTGCCCGCTAATTTCCCCTATAAACACGGTGGTCTAGTCCCTCCCCTGCTCTTAGTTAGTTATTAATATTAACGCCGCCTATTTAATTATTATAGTCTATAGAGATAGACGGCATAGGAAGATATAAGATAGGCTCGGCACTAAATTTTACTATATTAAGCGTGCTCGAGGCTATATTATTATTAGCCGACGCTAAATTCGCTCTTCGAATTCCTTGCTAGAATAGACTATTAAGAGGAAAAGCAGGGCATTATCTTTCTAAGCGAATTAGTTAGCCTAAAAGAAGAAGATAAATTAATAGGGGAATTACTAGGGAGCCTATCTTTTAATGCTCTTACCTAACCGTTAGGGGTGGGCGTAGTCTTTAGCGTGCCTTAAGGCTAATAGTTACCCTTTATATTAGCTTTCTTTGCCTCTACGAAGGGCTAATAGGAGCTATAGTTTACTCGGGCTATGCCTATAGCCCTAATCCCTAGCTAACGAAGAGCGTTAAGAAGGTTCGGCGAGGAAAAGAGGTTATCGAAGAAGACGTAGTATGTCTATTCTAGTAGCTGCTTAACTAGGGCAATAACAACGCTCTAAGTCGGGTTAAGAGAAATGCTGCCCTCTACCGTGCCTATAGCCCTCTTCCTTTTCTTCCTAGTAGCCGGGCTAAGGGCGTTAGAAGGTTAGTGCTAAAGCCACCCAATAAAATAGCCCGCTTAGGCTATAACCTATACTTTAAAGCCTATAGGTATAGGCTTAGTTTTAATTATAACTATCTACTTTAACCTACCCGTATAGCTAACGATATACTTATCTATAGCTGAATAAGTGCCTAGCTAATAAAGGGTAAGAGATACCTATTATATATATTCGGCCTACTTATTAACCTATATAAAGGGCGTAGGGAGCCTATATAAGATGCTATTTAGGTTACTAATCCGTATATACCGCTAGAGAAGAAAAAAGCGGTTAAATAATATATACTAAAGAATTAGGTATATAGGGACTATTAAGTCCGCTATAGAAGTCTTCTAATAGTCTCGGACTCTTATTTCCTTATATAAGCCTATATAAATTAGAGTAGCAACCTAGAGAAAAACCTCTCTAAGAGATATCTCTATCTAGCTATTCTCTCGCGAATGCTGCTACTTTAGACCCTCTAGGCCCGGCCTTAGACCGTTATTTATATACCCGACCCGGCTCTCGACTAGGGATTTAGCTAGGAATTGCTAGAAATATAACAACGGCGTTGGTAGCAGCTATCGGGGCTGTGGCTCGCGCTCGGGAACGTAAAAAGGGGTAAATTCGGGGCCCCGTTCGGGCTCGGGGTCGAATATAGGGCGGACTTTGCTATCGATAGGCTGCTCGCGCTGATAGTAGTTAAGCCGTGTATAAAGGGTATATTCGAAGCTATTTATAGCTAGAATAGCTACCTGCGAAGCTTATGGATCTTATTGCGAAGCTATAGAGCTTAATTTAAATATAGTTACTAGAAAAATTAACTGTTGTAGGTTTTGCTGATGCTGTAAGCCCCTGAAGTTGTATCTGACATGTAGCTACGTATTGTGGGGCCCGTGACCCTCCTGCGGTCCCTCCGCACTCAAAGGGATACGCCAGCGAGCACCCATACTGAGGATGGCTCAATCGAGGCTCGGGCACTCTGATGAGTGGTCTATTATTTCAGGCATTACTGGCGACAGCAATGAGACCCGTTTCTTTACCGCTCGAGAAGCCATCAAGCCTCAGCTTTTGCCCTGCTACGGAGATTGTTGACGATGTTTTCGTTCATGATGAAGTAACAAATCCGAGTACAAGTTTGGATAAGTATAGATAGTCGCCATGAGCCCCGAAACGACTACCTCCTCGGCTGTTCCATTTTCCATAGAAGCATGCGTGAATGTAGCTGCAGGGAACCGAGGAAAGTCACTGTATCTCGTATGCGCTCCAAAATGGAGATACGGCCCTCGTGCCAATGGCCCTGTAGTAAAGCTTGGAGGCGGCCTCTTGCCATCAAGATACAGCCCCCCCAGGCCTGATCGATGTCCTCCTCGCTACATGGAAGTTGGTTTAGCCATAGTCTGCCTGTTGCATCGCCTTCACTCTATTCGGGAAGACGTTCACTGACAGGCGATGACACTTGATGCTGGAAAGCACTTACGTCTGGCGACGCCACTCTGCGAGGCCGATATCCTTTCGCGATCGCCTAATCACTGTCTTACAGTGGGGACAGTTGCGTATCGACCCAAGAGCAGAGAGTAGATGTGGCTGGCTCACTCAGCCGCGCAACGCACACCGGCAAGGGGGGGGGCCTCACCTGGCTTACCGTGGTTGGGCGAGGGGGCGGAGCACAGGAGTCGGGAGCCTTGTCCTTCGAGTCCCACCCCCATCAACTTTGTCTACAACTGACGATCCTCCTCGAGCTCGGAAATGGCTCGCGGACCCTGTGCAAAACGCCGCCGATACGGGCCCGGACCCACTGACCGGCTGACGCCGGAGAGCAGCGGCCCCATCTCGGCTCCGTTGGCTGCCCCAGCCGGTCCCGACTCGGCAACTTGCGAGCCTCTGCATACCGACAGCAAACTCGTCTGCTATGGCATGGTGAAGCAGCGCCCAGACCAGACGACAGGCGCCATCTGCTGACCTCCTGCTGTCTCCAGATCGAAAAGCTGCCCGTCACCTCTGCAGCCACCATGACTGTCATTAGCAACTCCTCTTTCGTCCGCGTTTACCTCATCGACAACAGACTGGTTCACGATGGCGCATGCGTTGGAAGCTTGGACGACACTGCCGCCCAGGCTTTTTCCACGCTGGCCCGGGAAGACACGGTACACCTACAGCTGATGGCCGAGGCAGCTCGGAGCCAAAGCTCGACAAGCCACAGCAAGAGAATTGTTGCCTTGGCGTCTGTCATCGTATACGGGCCTCGAGATCTCGCCGATGACGTTGGCGGCTTCTTGGACCAGTGCAGATACTATCTCCAGGACCCCATTAGCTGCGAGCACAATGTGCCTTACATTAACCCCCATTGCTTGCCCGGCCTCTCGGAGCATCCCATCAACACGTTCGATCTGGAGCAGCCCCACGGGTTGGGGCACTATTTCTCCGCGTCAGCGTCGCTCAGAGCGCTCGAGGCTGCCGACGGCCTGCCAGAACTTGAGCAGCCGGCTGCGCTGAAAACAGAGCTCCGTCGGTATGTTGGCAACGTCTGCGTTATCCCGATTCTGCGGCGGCTGACTCTGCCAGCCATCAAAAACAGGCTCTGTACTTCTTCGTAAACCGAGAAAACAGCAGTTGCAACAGTCATGTCTGGCAAGCCAAGACATCGGCAAATGGCTCCTCCACGTAAGCACCTGTCATCCTTCATCTGACCTCGCACACTGAGGCATTATCCCAGCTACGTCAACACCATCACTGGCGTATCTCAAGATGCATCGCCACCCGCCTGGAGCGGTGGTATCCTCGCCGATGAAATGGGTCTCGGCAAGACGCTGCAGATGATCGCTCTCATCGCGGCCGGCAAGCAGCCCCAAGAGCAGTTTCAACCTCACATTCTGAAGCCCAAGGCAGCTTTGAGACAGCCCTCTTGTGTTGCGAGGGCAACTCTTGTCGTCGTACCCTTGAATGGTGAGGCTCAGTTCCTCACACTCTTCCCCAATGGCAGCTGACTCCGGCCTCCTCCTCAGTCATGGCTGTTTGGGAGAGCCAACTCGAGAGGTTTGACCCGAAGCAATGCCATGTCTGAATGACGGATCGGAATCCTAACCTGTGCCAGTCACTTGCACTCCGGGACTCTGTCCTGGGCCAGACACCATCGCCAAAACAAGATCTTGAACCCTCCAACATCGGCCTGGCCCGATATCGTGCTCACCACATACTCCACCGTACAGGCTGAGTTTAAGAGACGCGAAGGAATGTGTGCGGGGGGCGTCCTTTTTGATAAGTATTGGCGCAGAATTATCCTCGACGAAGGTTTGTGAGAAGCCTCACCATGCTGCTATGGCTATACTGACGATACTTGCACAGCCCACCAAGTGCGGAACCAGATAGCAACGTCAACCGCAATTGCATCGCTCAAGGCTCTCTCGCGCTGGGCAATCACCGGGACCCCAATCCAAAACAGCGTCACCGACATTGCGGGTCTTTTACGGTTTCTGCAATTCCAACCGTATGACGATGCCAAGGCCTTTGACCACGACATCGCCAAATACTTTCGCGGAAATGACATTGCAGAGGGAACAAGGAGATTGAAAGCATTGTGCCACCCCATCATGCTCCGCCGCTCCAAAGAGGTGATTGTGCTTCCTTCAAGGCAGGACCTTGTGCGGACTGTGAGATTTTCCCCAGATGAGAAGCGAGAGTACCGGAGAATCGAAGGCGGATTTCAGTCGTTCCTTGATGACGATCAGAGTTCGGGAAGAGTCCCGGCCCAGTTCAGCACAATCCAGTTGATCAACAAGCTGCGCGTATTTTGCAACTTGGGCTTGGCATCAAAGTCGACTACACTGGCAACCAGCAGGAAGCGCCCTGTAGTGACGCCCGGGCCTGATTCTGCTGCAAGCATTGTTGCGTCTGACGTCGCTCTAGGAGGCACCATCTGCACCAAATGCCGACAGATTGTAGACGCAACCGACACGCAGGCTTCTTCGGAAATCGCTCAAGGCGCTTACTTTTCTCAATGCTGTCAGGTTTACTGTAACGCCTGTGCCGCCCTCGGCGGCTACAAAGCGGCCACGGGTTGTACATGCAACGGTTACTCCCCCTGTCTGCTGCAAGCTGTTCCCTCGTACTTGATGCAAAAGGCTCTCGAGGGACACTGCACTCCAGCCCAGCTTGGTCAAGGCATAGTCTCGAGCAAGGTCAATGCTCTCGTCCACGAGGTCTTGGCAAGTCCAAGTGAAAAAGGGTCCGTTACAAAACTGCTATATGGGGTCCGAAACCAACAATTCACGGCGTGTTAGTGTCGTCTTCTCTTTTTGGATCACCAGCTTGCGCATGGTCCAATGCGCTCTCGAAGAGGCCGGCATCTGGTGCGTTCAATTTGACGGGTCGGTGCCCCCTTCGGCTAGAATCACGGCCATGGAGCAGTTCCGCGCAGATGACAACATCAAGGTCATGCTCGTCACGGTCTCTAGTGGCGGAGTTGGGTAAGAAGAGGACGGCCCAGTCGCTATTGATAACGAGGGTGTTGATGGCTGGCAGACTCGACTTGACGCGCGCTTCTCGGGTGCATCTACTTGAACCTCAGTGGAATCCTGCAGTCGAGAACCAGGCTCTTGCCCGCGTTCACAGGATGGGACAGCAACATCCTGTAGTTACAATGCGTTATATCGTGGCCGAGTCCATCGAGGAGGTACGTTTGGTATCTTGCAACCATAGCTTCAGATGTACTCACTTTCTCGAAGTCCATAGTCGCAGCAAAGGGGAACTGTCAGGACAAGAAAAGGGCCTATAATACGCGTTAGTAACACCTCTATTGGGGGTGCCCTCATTTTGCATGGTGTAGCGGTATTTTACCAGCTTGACAGGAACAAACAGCTCTTGGCTAGCCTTTTGCCGAAACACGAGGACCAATGAGCCTCGGTAACCTCCACCCAATATCTGTTAATAACAGACAACAGACCAGGGATATTTCGTGCTTCACTGGCATTGGACGACTCCTTGAAGGGTCGGCCGTCAGACGTATCAGGCCGGGTAGTAGGATTGATCTCGTACAAAGGCACACCCTCCGATCAATCAAAGGCTTGATCACTCTGCCGTCTTCGCACAAGCCTTCTTACTCCAAATTCCCTCACCTTGCTGCCCCTTTTGCCTCTGCCCGGCCTTGGCGACCTGCCGAGCAGGGAGTCGTGCGGGTGCATGCTGACACTGTATACCAAGTCGTTGGCTGCAAGCTGCAGCACAGCCACTGGCCATCATGTCCTGTAGCTGCCACTGGTCACCCAAGAGCCTATGGTTTCTACCCTTGGAGGAACATCCCCAGCCGCAGACGTGGTTATGCGTCGATAGTCCCGTGACATGCCCGCTCTCTCTGCACAGCCGAAACCACAGCCTGGTGCAGGAAGCGTCATTGTTGTAATGTAGCCGCCAAAGAATATTCAATTCTCGATACGAAGCCCCGTCTACAAGAAGAGGAGCTGATCAACAACCACATTCCGCGCTTTAGTCGCCGAGGCTACTAATCATGGCAAGTCAAAGTTCGAGCAGGAATGCGGCGCAACTGTCGGCCTTCCTTCTGGTCACCGAGGCTGTCGAGCGGTTCAAGGAGACGGTGAGCCCTGAAGACCAGGCTCAGATCCAGAGGACCCGGGTCGACGACGTCACTGAAGCAATGCGCGTCATCCAGCGAAGGCGAGAGAATAGAAACATGCCAAGCTCGACCGCTTTGTCCAGGGCTTGCAGAAGTATGCCGGAAACATTGAAGCCCTTAGCAATGGAGTCAGCCCGTACCTGCCGTGGATCTGGGTGCGTTGACTTTTTCCGGCTGTAACAGTTCTCTACATTAGCCAATAATAGCTAATGACTCCAATAGGCACCGTACAAGCTGATGTTGCAGGTGCGTGCCGTGCAAGTAAGCATAGCATTGGGGGCAAGATATTGACATCGTCAGGCCACGTCCGACTACATGTTGGCCTTCGACAAACTTATCGATGCATATGACAAGATCGCCGGAACGCTTCCGCGCCTCAACTTACTGGCAGACACCTTCAAGGATAGTCCAGCCATGTTCGAGAAGCTGGCACTCTACTACGCCGATGTGCTTGAATTTCACAGAAGAGCTTACAAGTTCGTGAGGAGAAAATGTGAGGCCACAAAACAAGCTTCTCGTTGTCGAATACTGAATGTTGCTGTAGCCTGGAAATTCTTCTTTATGACAACATGGGCAAACTTTGACGTGCGGTTTAATGCAATCCTCGACAGTCTGGCTCGTCATAGCACTTCGATAAGCCAGGAAGCAACCACCATCGACATTGTCGAAGCTAAAAAGTGGAGAGAGACGATGGCCGCTGAGACGGCCGCAAAGGAGAACGGAAGGCTATTTCGTCAACGGTCCTCGGTGATATCTTGGCTTGACATCGACCAACCATCGCAAGATGATGACTGTGAACGGCTTTTGCAAGATTGTGCCAAGGGTAGCTGCGACTGGATGCGCAAAACCCCGATGATTGAATCATGGTTGAAGGCTGACACTAAGAACCCTGTGCTGTGGCTCCATGGAAAGCCCGGAGCAGGTATGCCTCGACATTCCTGGCCGAGAAGACTTTTCATTGACACACGGGCCTTATCCAGGAAAAACTGTCATCTGTGCCAGCCTGCTCGACTCACTACAAGGCCGGGAGGATATCACACTTATGTTTTACTTCTGCAAGTATAACGGTCATGATTCAGCGCCCAAGGTTCTAAAAGCCTTTGTTCTAAGGCTCATTGACAGCAACCCCAACCTAATTGCTGTTGCATTCGCCAACTTCGTGGAAAAATGCCAGAAACCTTCCTTGAAGGTCCTCCGCGAAATGCTCGTAGGGTCTCCCGACAAGCCATGCCTTATCCAAGGAGCGTCTCTCTGCCGCATTGTGGTTGATGGTCTTGACGAGTGCGAGACATCAGAGCAAAGTTTGCTTGTCGACAATCTCGTTCAGCTCGTATCAATAAACTCGCCGGCAAACTGCAAGTTGTTGATCTGCAGCCGTGACATCTCGGAAATCAATCACGCCATCCATAGAAAGGCGAGACGTCTTGCTGTCTTTTCACTCATGACACAGCGCGAGTTCGTCGACAAGGCCATATACCATTTTGCCAAATCCGAAATACAGGAGCTTGTTGCCCAGAAGCCGTTTGCGGGTCGACGACAACACGACTGACGACATAGCCTAAATTATTGTGAAGAAATCTGACGGTTTGTTCCCATGCTGCGTACTATGGGCTTGAGCTAATAGTTTCAGGGATGTTTTTGTGGGCGAGACTTGTGTTGAACTCTGTATGCGACGTCGACAGCCTGTTGGAGCTCAGTGAAGCAATCACAACGATACTCCGGGAGCTTCCGGAGTTATACGACTAGATTCTGGACTTGCTCTGCTAGAAGCAGGCCGACAAGCGAGCTGAGAAGATGATGACAATTCTTGCTTGGGTAACTTTCGGAAAGAGACTACTCAAACGCTACGAGATTGTTCACGGCTTGGCGCTGACTCCCGACACGCTAGTTCTCACTGAATGGAACAGGGTTGATCTAGGCGCTATCAACAAGTGCAAGCTATTGGTGGAGGAGTTACACGATGGCAGCATTGTGTTCATTCACTTTACAGCGCAGGAGTATGCTTGCTCCGACCTCTACACTACATGACAATTGGAACGGCAACTACTAACGAGTATTGTATAGATACCTCAGGACTAAGTTTGAGCATCTGCTAAGCACTTGGCAGAGCGCAATTGCCTTTTCTTGTGCTGCAGTGCTCAGACAGAGCTTGGTGCTCGTTGATCTAGCCAGCGACGAGGCCTACAAGCTTCACTTGGTAGTGAGCGGCTCGCATGCATTGCTCCCATACGCAGCCGACTTTTGCATTGAGCATCTCCTCGATTGCGCCACGCTTTTTAGCATTATCCCAGACTCACCTCTGGGCCAGATGCTGGCGAGCCTTTACTCTTCCCATGAGCAGGCAGCCCTGAAACTCGACAGGGTCGTCAGTATTGATGATCCGTCTCGGCGTGCCGAAGATGCCCGCCTCGCCGCGCTGTCTCATCTTCCTATCAAGCCTTTATGTGCTTCTCTTTTGACCTTTCGAGCGTATTGCAAAGTAGAGTCGGCAGAAACTGGTGAAGGTAGGCATACACCAGCCAGAACCCTCAGCAACCAGATAATCACTTTTATGAAAGTCCTCCAGTTCTTCATGTATCGCAGCTCCTCAAAACCGAAAGTACGGGCAGGGCTAACTGGGCCAAGAGTTTGAAATTCTATCCGGGAGACGAGACCCGACACTACTCAGCGACATGTCATCACAGTTCAATAATTGCGTGAGCTCACTGCTGGCTATGACTGAACCCGGGGGCAGCATCTTTGTCCCACCTCGAGTGCGGGGGGTTGCAATGTCTCTTGACCGTGAAGTGCGCCATCCTTGGTCTAGAAATTCCCTGACTTCAGCCCCCCGAACAGAAAAGATGGACTTCTCCTTGCCTGAGGACATGAAAAAACTGGAGGAGATGGATGATTGCTTCAAACGATTGAACGCATCAAGCCTATGGAGCCAATTACCAGCGGAGGATTGGAGTGCCATCGTCAACATTCGAGAGAAACCCGTGATTGATGTTCATTTGGAACATACGCTTATGCATATCGACTCGGTGTGCTCTGTTGCTATCGATCCACAAGGCAGACTACTTGCAACAGGATCTAGAAAAGTTGCCCGAGTGTTCGATCTGCAGACGGGGAAGAGTCTATGCTTCTTGGGCCACGCAAGCGTCGTTCAATCATTGTGCTTCGGACCATGCGGAACACGGCTTCTTACTGGCGCAGAGGATGGACTTGTAAGGGTGAGAATGCATCTTGCGCTGATGAAAGGGCACGTCAAACTAATGATTCGACTAGGTCTGGTCTCATACTTCCCAGGCCATTCTCAATGCCTTTGAGGATCACCAGCTGGGAGTATATGCTGTCGATTATGCACCCCACGGCGCGTACGTGGCCTCGGTGAGCGTCGATAAGACGGCTCGAATCTGGCACCTCTCATCAAGCGAGATGCATCAATTATTCCAGCTCGACCACGTCCCTCTAAGTGTATCGATTAGTCCTGACTCTAGATTTCTCGCAGTGGGCTCTTGCGACTGTTCCATTCATGTCTGGGATGCTTACAGCGGGGCCTTAGCGTATCGCATTGACGCTTTTAAGTAGTATTAAGATCTACACTTGCAGGAATAAACGGCAAGGTCAAAGCCGTCTTATTTCACTTTATTACATCACCGATCAGGTTTTATCGCCACCTATAATTCTCACAAAGAGAGATACGGGAAGTATATATAAGATGCGCTTAGGGGAAATTAATAGAAAGGGTTTAGATAGGTAGGGCAAGTTATTTAAGTCTTTTAAGGGCATTAATAATAATAAATAGTTTAAAAAAACTTCTCGCGAAACCGATATACGCCTATAGCGGGTGCGCATCACGACTAAAATACTAACTAATACTAGGAATTAATTTAGCGGTATTAATTACCCTTAGTAACGATGCTACGCCGAGGCTAAGGGGTAGGTAGACGTAGTAGCGGCTATCGACGCACCGGGCTCGATTAGAGCGCGTAGCGCGAAGAGACGCCACCTAAATTTATATACCCCGATAGGGCGAGTTAATAAACCTAAAGCAGCGATGCGATACTAGCCCGGGCGCCGAGCGACCCTATAGAAAAAGTAGTATACGATAAACTCGCGGGCTTCGTCCTAAGCGTATAGTTTAGTAGGGTATAAGCAATAGTCGAATAGCTCTTTAAGGCGAAGAGCCGCGCTAGTAGCGCGTTGTCGGCGGTGCTCTACGCGGATAAGAGCTTTAAGACGATAATCCGGGAAGTAATTAAGGAGGTAGTTAAGGAAGAACTCCGCCTAGGCATCGCTTTAGGCCTAGGGGGCCCTAAGTAAACCTAGGCCGCGGTTATAGCTAGGACTAAGGGACCGACTTAATATAAAGCTATAGTAAAATAGGTCCTACCGCGCTATAAATATAAGATTATTATAGTCTTTATTAAGGCACCGCCTAAAATCCTAAGCCGCGAACTAAAGGATATAGTAAAGGCGGTAAATATAGCCTTAAAAGCTATAAGCGCTATAGCGGCGAGGCGCCTTTAAAGCGGAGATATCGCGGTTATATTTAATACCGCGGTAAGAGCCTATTAAAGGGACTAAGGCTAGGTTAAGGCTATATTTAGACTAGAGGCTATAATTACCTACTACGCGTATATAGTAGTCGCTAAGAATATCCTTTTAAGGGTAGCGATAGTAGATAAGGAGCGATTACTTTATAAGATTATAAAAGTAAATAAAGTTAAGGTCCTTTAAGCTTAGGCGCTATACCCTTAATCTAAGATATCGACGGCGATAACTATACTTATTAAGGTTAATAGCTTAAAAGAGGCTAATAAGCTCTATAACCTAAGCGTAGTCCTTAAAGTATAAATCTTTTAATATAAACCTTATAATAAGTCGGTCTAATTATAGAGGTACTATAATTATTATAGGTATAGCTATATTACTAGATAGTATATATCGATATAACTCTATAGCTAATATAGGAGTATAGTATATAATAAAGGTAAGGATAAATATAAAGCTAAGAAGGGCAAAATCCCCTATAACTATATCTTATATTAAGGGGACTACTTATTATAGACCTAAACTTACTTTATAGTAAATAAAGCCTAGGAAAAAGTAAGGGAAAACTACCTATAATAACCTTAATAGTTCGCGAATACTTAAACGTACGCTAAGTAATAGGTGCTCCTTACTATCGAAACCTAGGGCGTTCTTAAATCGACCGCGGTCTAGAAGTAAGGACTAAGTAGACCGTGCTAAGATAAGAGGTCGAGCTTAAGATACCTACTAGCGAGTAAGGCTAAGGAGGCTAAACTAAGTATAAACGATATTTATAAGTATAGTAGATAGAGAAGCGCTAGGAGATAGAGCGCCTCCCTCCTTATATAGACGACCCCTTTTACCTTAACCTTACTTATATATAACTAAAAGTACTATTTTAAAATATATAAAAGAGATATAAGCTAGCTTAGTTAGCGCTTTACTACTAGGCCGGCTTTAACTTAATAGTACTATAAGAAGTAGAAGCTATACTAGGAGGCGGCCCCCCCCCCCCTAGAGCGGCGCCTTATAGCCTAGTCTATAAGGAGGGGAGGTACGCGCTATATATATATAAAAGGCTCGGGCTAGGGACTTAGTCGCCCCGGTCTAGGCTAGACTAAAATAAGGTAATTTTCGGGGATAGTACTAAACTATAAGCAATTTACTTACTACTAAGGGCCGCGAGAGCTAGAGTATTATATAACCTAAGCGTAATTAAACTAAAGTACCTTATAGTAATAGTAAGGGACTTTAATATCTACTACCCGCTCTAAGATAGATATAATAAAACCTTAGATAACGTAATATAACTTATATAAGAGGCGATAAGATTACGACTTAAACTTACTACCCTAAGAGGGGAGTATATAAGATTTATCTATAGCTAAAGGGATAGTACTATCGACCTAGCTTAAGTAACGCTAGAGACTAGGATATAATATACTAGGCCTAACCTAGACCTAACTAAGTTAGACTATATCCCTTAGACTATTATACTATAGGTCGATACCTAGGCCTAAGTACTTAAACCGACCTTAAGGTAAAAAGAAGCGGAAGTAAAGCTAGTTAAAGCTAAGACTATATCTTAGCTAAGACTATACTAGCTAACGCTTTAGACGCCTAAGGATATCGACTAAGACCTAAACTATATCTTTGCTACTTTAACGTAGATCGCAATAGCTATAATTCCGCGCTAAGGGCGAGTATTACTTAAGGGCAACGTATAGTTTACCTTAAAGGTAAAAAGGGTAACGAGAGAGGCTAAGAGGGTAAGGAGGAAGTATAAGCGGGAAAGGAGTAAGGCGAACTAAGAAGACTTATATAAGACGTTTATAGCTTAAAAGTAGACCGTCTATAAGGCGAGGAGGGCCTATTAGCGCGAGTTCTTAGAGGAATTTAGCGCTAATAATACTAAGCTCTAAAACGTAGAGAGGTAAGCTAGACTCTATAGTAAGCTACCCTTAAAACCGACCTATATCCCGCTATTAGTTAAGGAGGGTAAAGACTAACTAATAGAAACCTTTAAAGGGAAGGCTTAGTTATTAGCCGCTAAGTTCTTCCTATTAAAGGCTAGCACGACCTAAGGGCTACCCCGGCCTATAGCCGAGGCGACCCTTATAGTTAATTAATAAATCTAGCTAGCTAACGTTATAGTAGCGCTAGGTAAGATAGTAAGCTAGAAAGTAGCGGGTCTAAATAGCGTCCCTTTAAGGTTTATTAAGAAGTATAGACTAGCCTTAGTCTAGTAACTAGCTATAATCTTTAACGCCTATACCTAGCTCTTATATTTCTTAGAATAGTTCTATAACGTAAACGTAGTAGTAATCTAGAAGCTAAGTAAGAGGCTGGAAGCTTACTATATAGTAAGGGGATAGAGACTAATTTCCCTCCTACCTATAATAAGGAAAGTACTTAAGTAGATACTCGCTTAAAGGATCGCGGGAGCTATAAAGGTAAATAGTATTATACTAAATAGATAAATAGGGAATAAGAGGGAGCGCTCTATAAAGGCGGCGATCCTACTAGTAATAAAACTAGTATACGCGACCTAAGCTTAAAGGGGCATCGTATCGTTCTTATAGCTAGATATTAAGGGCGTATTTAATATAGTTAACTATAATAAGCTTATAAGGGAACTAGAGCTTTAAGGATACCTTAGATAGCTTATAAGCTTAATATAAAGCTTTATAAGTAATAGAAGATTAACCCTTTACTTTAATAGGAGGACCTTAGAGCTAACTTAAGTACTAATAGGAGTCCCTTAGGGCTCCCCCCTATCCCCGATCCTATTTCTATACTATATAACCCCCTTATATAAGAGGCTTAGTATAATATATAGTATTTATACTATTAGCTTTACTAACGATATAAATATAGTTAGTATTAGACCTAATAAGGCTATAATAGTAGTACGCTTAAAGGAGGCCTAGAAGGTATACGTAGAGTAAGCGGCTAAGTTTGCGGTTACTTTTAAACTATCGAAGAGTAAGTTAATATACTTTATATAGAGGAGATAAGCAATAATAACGCTAGTTTACCTTAAGACTAACGTAGTAATACCGGTCTAGGAGGCCCGCTTACTAAGGGTTTAAGTATACTAGAAACTATACTAAAAGGCGTACTTAAAAAAGCTCTAGGTAAAGATAAAGCGCTAGACTATAGCCTTAACTAAGCTCGCGTTATTTACGTAGGGCTATACCCTACTATATACTAAGGAAGTCTATAGTAAGGTAATCCGGTCCTTAATCTCCTATACTATAGTTATATTCTACGAGATAATACCTATAGGGGGGAAACTATATAGGATCGAGCGGGACCTAGTATAGGACTAGTTAGCTTACCTCTAGGTAGTAATAAGCGCCTACCGCGCGACCTTAGTCTACTAAGTAAAGGTAGAGGCGTAGGTGCCTTTAATTAACCTTTACTTAAACTAAAGAATAATAGATACCTTTTAGAAGTTAAAGGATTTAGGGCTCTTAAGCTAAATCTAATATATATTTAATATAGTCGCGGGTATACTTAAGAGGAGGCGACGCTAGAGAGAGAGTAGGCCCTTAACGGCACTACTACTTAGTAGGCCCCCCCTCGTAGAGGAGATAAGGGGGGTCTAGAGCTAGATAGGATCGGACGACCTCTTAAATAAAGCTTAGTTACTTAAAAAGCTAAATAAGGAATAGGCCGCTTAATAGAACGCTAAGGAAGATATAATCCGATAATACTAAACTACCCTCTACCTTACTAACTTCCCGCTATAGTTTAATAAGGCGATAATACTAGACCGTTATAAGGGCCTCCTTAAGTATATTAATATAGTAATTACTTAGATATATATAGGAAAGATCGGGCTTAATAACTTCTTCTTCGACTAATAGGTCCTTAGTATAATCTCGCTAATAAATACCTATAAATAAAAATAAGATATTATCTACTATATAATAATTAACTATTTATTAATAAAGGAGGTAAGGGAGTCCCTTTTAATATAGGCCTAGGATATAGGTAACGTAAAAGCGGGCCTTTAAGGGAAAAGGATAGTAGCGCCGCTAGTATAATAGTTCTTTTACTTAAGTAAGCTCCGCTAGTTCGACCTAGCTTAGAGGCTATATATAGATATACTAAATAATAAGACTAGGGTCGCGCTAGAGATAAAGCGGCCTTAACTAAGACTACCTTAGCTAACTACTTCCCTTATTAAGGCGATCTAAGAAGGGAGAGGACTTATAATAATAAGACTATAGTATTAACTAAACTAGACCTAAACTAAGCGTAAACCTCGCCGATTAAACTATAGATTAAATAGAACTAATATAACCTAACTAAACCGGCCTTAATAGCTATAGAATAAGACCTATTACTAAAAGACTATAACTAAATAAGACTTAACCTAAAACTAAACTAAGACGGAGCCGATAACTAGCCCCTTAAACTACGACCTTAGCTTAACTTATCGGTAGTAACGTCCGTATTATTATTATAGTAGGAACGATAAGACCTTCTTAGGGTAGCACGCGGGGTATAGGAAGGAGTAACCTAAGACTTATAAGGAGTATAGGGACTACTACCGCTATAAGAAGCCTAACGATAACCGGTCGGGCCTAACCTTAAACCTAAACTAAAGCTAGCCTAGATAGCTAGCTTATAAGATAGAGTAATAACTAAGGTCTATATTAAGGTAAGACCTATACCGGTAGCGGCGTAGAGACGTTCGCTATAGCTTATACTATAACCCTAGATCTAATTAAGGTTAAGACTAGTAATAATCTTAGCTAAGACCGAACTACGATAGCTATAAAGACGCTACTAAATAAAGTTAAGAGTATTAGTAGGATTAGTAAGCGACGTAAGATAGGGACGCTTTAGGGCGGGCTTAGCGCTAGGAGAACTACTAGGCTATAGCTCGGCGTCGGAGCTAATAAAAGGAGACGCGGTAGGTTCCTAAGCTAGCTTCGCGACGACCGTAGGCATAGCGACGATAGCGGACTCTTTAGCCTTAGCCTTAAATAGAGCCTTAAGCGCGGTAGCCGCCTTACCCTTACCTTTACCTTTCCCTTTATCGGAAAGGACTAAGGCTAGACTAAGCTTAGTAAGATTAAAACCGCTATCCCCGCTATTAAGGTCGTCGCTAGTAATAAGATAGAAATAGTTAGCGAGATCGTTAACTACTATAAGAGTCTTTTAAGTAACTAAGAATAACTTAGGCCTAACCTAGGCTAAGGTCTTAATAGTATCGCTAAACTTACTTAAGTGCTTCTCTAAGGACTTATATACCATGCCCCACCCCCCTTTCGGTAACACCCACCTTTCGGTAGCGCATTAGGAAATATCCCCACCAAAACCCATCAATTTCACTTACACCGATTCCAGCCAGCTTTGAAGATATTCACAAGCCGTCACTTGGAGTAGATAGAGGATTGATTGAATTCTACTTTTCGATGGTTGAATGTTTGTACAGGGGTCTGTGGCCTGTGCGTACCTTGCACGCGAAATTACCATCCAACCCCCTAATCTCCTTCCGCCTCCTGACGATGATTCTTCTCGTTATTCCTCCACCACATGACCAAAATGACCTTAAAGCGGCCTCGGGTATTTATACGGAGGATATTATGGCTAATGCGATAATTGATGTCACAAAAAACGGCTTGTCGCAGTACCGCGCCGCCCAAAAGTATGACATACCTCAGCAGTCTATTTCCGACAGACTCAAAGGCCAGGTAGCCCTGGCTGATCAGATCCAGCCTCGTCAACTCTTGAGTAAGTCTCAGGAAGCTCGCTTGGTTTCTTGGATCCTCCGCCAAGAGTCTCTCGGCTATGCTCCCTCCACAGTCAGATCCGCGCATGTGTGGAGGCTCTTATGAAGCAACTGAACAACGAGCGGACAGTGGGGCGCAACTGGGTCTCTAAATTCATCAATCGCCATCCGGACATCAAGAACAAGCGTGGGAGACGTCAGGAAGCTAACCGATTTAATGCTTTTACGCCTCGTGCGGTTCACTGGTTCTTCGATATCAGGAAAGGAGTATGGATGGATTAAACCAGAAAATACCGTGAATGTTGACGAAGGCGGTATTATGTCTGGCTTTGGTGAGTATTTGGCTTGTCTTTCATTACTTTTACTAACCAGACTCTTTTGCCAGGTTTGGATAGTCTTGTGGTTGGGAGTGCAGACCCAAAACGGAAGGCCCTTCTGAAAGGCCCACAGTCCCAACTGGACCTCATTTATTGAAGCTATCACCGCGGACGGCCGTGTCCTTACCCCTGGCATTATCTTTAAGGGCAAAGAACTTCAGAAACAGTGGTTCTTGACGGAATTCGGCAAAATAGCCGACTGGCATTACATAACGTCGCCCAACGGATGGACGGACAACCATATCGCTATTGAGTGGCTTGAGAGGGTCTATTTGCCCCAGACGCGACCAGCCGATGCCTCAGATGCTAGACTGATCATATTAGATGGACATGGAAGTCATGCAACGGTGCGTTTCTTTATCCACCTCTGTAGGAATTACCGTTAACCGGGACCAGGATGCATGGATGGCCACATGCTTTTTGAACAACGTTTATTGCTGTTACCTTCCTGCCCACTGCTCTCATGGCCTCCAGCCGTTAGATAACGGTGTATTCAATGCCTCCAAGGCAGCTTACCGGAAAGAACTTCAGAAATTGACCTGTTTGACCGATTCTGCGCCTGTTCATAAGGTCAATTTTATACGGGCATATGCTAAAGCGCGCGAGGTTGGAATGACGGCAAAGAATATATTGTCCGGCTGGAGGTCACTGGGAATTGGCCGATCTCACGATCCAAGGCATTGCGGCATCCAGAAATTCACGCGGACATTGTAGAGACGTCTCCAAAGTCCGCGCCATTTTGGGTTCTGATGATACGCCAAGAAACAGCCACCAGATTCGCGATTTCGGAAAGAACAAGACTCCTGGCACCCGGAGACGATACGCCGTGATAGCTAGAGGCTTTGAAGCCCAAGAACAGACGCTTGCCGAGCACAGCAACAGAATCGCGAAGCTAGAGGAAGAAGTGGCCCGGCTGCAGAGAGGCAAGAAGAGGAGAGCAATTCGAACCCGAACAGACGGTTCATGACTCTCAGTGAAGCTTTGGTGGCTGAGGAAGCCATTCCCAAATTAAAAGCCAAGAGATAGCCGTTGTGCTGAATTCTGACACAGAGGAGGAGGCGGTCTCAGAGGTGGAGACAGCTTCAGTGATCGAAGTCAAGGTGGCACGAAGCCCTTCCAGTCACCACCAGATCCGGGCGAATGGTAAAAAAGCGCCGGTACATATAAGAGCGTCCATTTCTCTACGGAATGATATAATTTTTGTGTTTATAATGTTAAGTTCTGATCATATTTCATGTAGTTCAAATGGTAGACTTTTGGTGGAGAATTTTTCAATTGCGCTACCGAAAGGTGGGTGTTACCGAAAGGGGGGTGGGGCATGGTATATAGTAGGTATTATCTATGAAATAAGTAAAAGCTAACGCGAGCGTCTCGATATTCTTAGCGACCGTAGCTAGACTAGGGGAAGACTTACTTAATACGCCCTTACCCTTAGCGGCGGGGGCCTTCTAACTAGCGCGAATATAAGTTTCTAGAGTAGCGCGGTAAAGGCGCTCTTATACTAAACCCTTAATAAGGGAGGGGCTATCGACCTTAGACTATACTTAGTAGAAGGCACGCGCGGCCTCTTTACCTTTAAAGGTAATTTAAAATATAGATTAATACCGAACTTAGATAATACTATAGCGGGATAAGGTTATTTACTTAGTAATAAGATTAGTTAAAGTTAGCGTAAGCAATATACGCTTTAGCCTTTATAGCTATTAAAGTTAGCTAAAAATACTAAAGGTAGGACTAACCTAGGATAAAACTAAGATTAATACTTATAAAACTAGTTTTAATAGCTAGCGAAGGACTTATAAGTAAGCTTATTAGTAAGACGCTTAATATATATAAAATATAGAATAGAGCGCTCCGATCCCGCTATAGTAGCGACTTTTTTATAAGGAGGGGGTTTTAGAGGAGGCAAGCTACTACTACCTAAGTTAGCTTCTTAGTTAGATATTATAATATAGCGATAAGCGAACTAGATATAGTATTAGAGAGACCTAGAGTTATAGAAATAAGGTAGGCGAGGTAGTAGTAAGGCCTATAAAAGAGATAGCTAATAAAGAGATAAGAAGAGGTATAAATAAAACTAAGGGGGGAGGGTAGGTATATATATACGCGAGCTAAGCGCGCGTAATTAGTAACTATACGATAGAAGGTAAATATAGGCCGCCGCGCCCTTAATCGGGAAGTCGTATAGCTAGATAGGAACCGATTTACGATTAGCGGAGCCGGCCGACCGAATTTCGATTAGCCGGCCCTACCTAGGAGCGACCTATATTAGCGCCCGGCCTAGTAACCGGATATTACCTGCCCTATTAACTAACGGACTAATAAGCTAACGCGGCCGCGGCTACGTAGTAGCGACGTAGGAGCTATAGTAAATAGAGGCGCCCGCGAGTTAGGCCCTTAAAGAGAGACTACTACCTATAACCCTAGGCCTAGGCTAGCGAGCTTAGGCCGCGGCCGCTTAGGATAGTAGTAGCTATAGCTTAAGAGGGCCTACGCCGAGATATAATAGCGCGGGAGGAGCCCGTAGTAGCCGGCGTAAATTTCCTATATATTACTACTATAACCTCGTTTAAGGCGGACCTATACTAAAAGAGGGGAGGGTTTTCCCTTAAGTACTTTAGTTTTTCCCTCCTATTTAATACTAAAGTTCTAGATACCTTTAGCTAGGTTCCTAGTATAATCTTAATAATAATAATAATAATAAATAGTTAATTATTTTATAGTTATTATTAAGGAGAGTAAGTATAAGAGGCTATAGTTATACTTAGTAGACTTAATAGTTATATATAAGGAAGCTTACTTAACTAATATAACTCCCTTAGCCTAAGGATATTATATAGGCCTAACTTAAGTATAAGAATATCTTAATACCCTCTTTTAGCTAGCTATATATAGTTACTATACCTATATAAGCCCCTCCTTTATCTTAATAGATAGACTAAGATATATATTATTAAATTTACCTTTTTATGCCCTTACTTTTTCTACTATACTCTTAAGCCCCCTTACTTAAGAGTTATAAGCCTAGTTTATACGGCTAGATTATCTTTTGCCCGCCGATATTACCTTTAAAGCTATTTACGAGCTATTAACGCCGTTATAACGCTTAAATTATAGTATTAAAGTAAGGAACCTAGCTATACTAAGGGGCACTACTATAAATATATAAATTATATAAATTACGTATCCCTTAAAGAAGGATATTACTTATTAAGCTAGAACCCTTAATTTTCCTAAGATAATATTAAAGGAAGTAAGAGGGGATAATTATATCGTAAGACTAAAGGAAAGCCTCGATTAAACCCTATAGATTAAGGGGATTAAATTATAGGCTTAGACTTATAAGATTTAGGAATATACTAACTTAGATAGCCTAAAGGAGCTTAAATAGCCCTAATAGCTAGACTAAGAGCAATTTATTATTAACCTTAAAGGGAGACCTTCTTAATAAGACGATAAACCTAAAGCTATATTCCTTATAAGGCGAATAGGCTATAACGAACGATACTAGGATATAAAGGACTTATTTCGTAACCTTAAGAAAAGGTTCTAGCTATAATTCGATTGCTATAAGGTCTAGTAGAAGGCCTTAATCGCACTTAAAGAATTAATTAAGAAAACGATTAGTAAAGGGCTTTAAGGGGCACCCCTAATATATAATAGCCTAAGAGAGAAAATTAAGGAATTAAAGAAGTAAGCCTTACCCTTAGGGGTAAAAGAGAAAAGGCCAATTTACGAGAGATATATAACCTCTATTAATAAAAAAGGTATATAAAACTAAAAGGTATAGGTAGAATAGCTCGACTAAATTATTATAGATTTATAAGACCTTAAGGTCGATATACTTAACGATATAAGAATTAGATAGGATTTTCTTATAGCGGTAAATAAGTAGGACCTATATTAGTCTATAATAATAAGGGCTCTCGACCTTTAGAACGAAAGATATAGTAAAGATTAACTTCCCTTAAGGAACCTAATCGCTAACTTAAATAAGAATATACTTATAGGAAGAAGTTATAACTACCTATAAAAAGGGGAAGCGCTAATTAAATCTCTAAGAAATTAGACACCTAAGCTAAATACGCTAGCTATAACTAGCACGTTAATAGCTTAATAAGCTAGTAGGAAAATTACTACTTACTATAGGTAATATATAATAAGAAGCCCCTATTAAGCTAGAAATATAGTAATCTAGCTAAATAGAATATCGAAAAACGGCTAAAGGACTATTTAGATAAGAAAGTAAAATATATAGCCTAGACCCTTAATTCCTATATTAAAGGAAGAGAACTAGTAGATACTATTATTAGTAATAACGGGCTAGGAAAGACTATTAATATAGTTACTCTATCTAGGGTAAATATAGCTATTAAGGGAACGCCGTTACTTACCGATAAATTAATATATAACTTAGGGGCTAATATTTACCTCTTTAATAACCTCGGTTAGTTCTAGGAAAGAACCTTTAAGTAGGGTTCTAATAATAAAGTCTAAGTTAAAGACTAAGCTTTTAAGGTATAAGGAATAAGAATAGTAGTTATCCCTATAATTAATAGTAAAAAGATAACTTTACTAGATACTTACTTTATCCTAGAAATATTAATAAGTGTCTTCTTAGCTAGGCTAAGGATAATAGTAGGGATATTTTAAAACTAGCTCCTAGGATACTTCTATTTAGAACCTATAAAAGAGGTTTATATTAAACTAACTAACTTCGAAGGTTAATTTATAATAGGAATACTCCTATAGCGTAAGCGGGTATTTATAGTTATATAAGCGCCTAAGCCGCTAACTAAGGGGGTAGGTAACCTATAGTATCGCCGCCTTAGGCATCCTAGTTTAAGATTACTAGAGAAGCTATTAAAAGCTTACCTAGGCACTAAGCTTTAAGGCCCTATAATATATAGCTATTAGATATATATAATAAGGAAAGCTAAGAGGGAAGTCTTAAGAAAAATACTATCCTTAAGGCCTAAAGGTCTAGGGGTATAAGTTAGCTTTAACCTTTACCCTAGCCCTATAATAGTATATAATAGGGAAAAGAACTTCGCCCTATTTACTTATATAGATATATCTATAAGGTTCTATTACTTAATAGAAAGAAAAATAAGTATTAAGGATATCTTTAATAACTTTATAGCGTTACTTAAGACCTAGTATAGAGTTAAAATAACTATATTAGTAACTAATAGGGAAAGGGCTCTTTTAATAATAGAATAAATAGATTATATAACTAATAAAGGGATATAAGTTATATAGTTAGCCCCTTTAACGCTTATATAAAATAGTAATATAGAGAGATTAAGGGTAATAGTAAAGGAAAAAGTAAGGGTTATAAAGCTTAACTTAAAACTTCTAGAAGAGCTATAGCTAGAGATATACTATATAGCGGTATACCTACTTAATATAATACCCTTTAAA